TGACTGCATAGCACCAAAGTAACATAAGCCAACCTCCAGGCGACCCCTTGAGATCTCCAGCTATTAAAACTGATGTCCAGATGACCAAGATCAGTTCTCCTGGAGACAATGGCTGCTTTGGGCAGTGGATTTTATGGCATTATACCCTACTGAGGTCCCTCCCCACCCCAAATCCTGCCCTCCCCAGGCTCTACCCCTCAAATTTACAGGTATTTCCCAACCCAGAGTTGGCAACCATGTAATTAGCTATGGTACCACTTTCCAGACCCTTGGAACCCAGAAAACATGGCACAGGAGGAGGTGCTTTTCTACCTTAGCTGCCACTGCATAACACCCCCTCCCCCTCAAAAAATAAGTCAGAGGTGGAGAGAACCATATCTGTTACCATGAGGCTGTCCTCCCATTCTACCCACTTGGGGCAGCAAAATGACTTGAGACAGCCCTGCCTTATAGCTAAGCAGAAGGAAAGAAACATGGCTTGCCTCCCTCCATTTTCCACTTCCCTCTGCTGCCCCACCAGCCACAATCGGGACACTCATCTGGAGCATCCTTCAAGATCTCATTGTATTTCTTTCCACAATGGACATTACTCCTAGTGAGAAAATAAAGCTAGGCATTTCCATACTGGTCATCATCTTTAAGCTGATGACAGGAGTTGCAGTGCCAAAAAAGTAGGGACTGGAACATCCTGGCCTAGGTTATCTCCAGAACATCCCTCTTCTAGGAAAGTAGAAGCAGCACAGATGGGGAGGTTGGACAATATGTCATCCTTGTGTAATGTTCCCTTTTACATGTAGGTTAGAATTAGGGTACTCCGTCAAATTCCTATGTTTACATCATTCATCATGGATGGGTCCACTCAAACTAACATGTATTTATTAACAAGGAGATACCGGGATGGGAGTACCTGGTTTCAGAACAAGGGAACTCATGCTTTCCATTTCTAGCCAACAAACAGTGCTAACTAAGCAAGGACTCCATCCCATAAGTCTAAACCAACTCACACAAATATTGAAGGAGAAGCATATCATTTCATTGTAATGCATACAATAAATGGACCACATCCTTTCTTTACTTTGTGGTGCTTACTCAGCATAACCTAACCACAAAAATACGGAGTCCCATTATCTTCAGGGCATCCCTTCTGTGCACTTTGAAAGGCCATGAAGGCTGTCTGGTTGTGGCAGACCTAATTCACCAGACATGAAAGGTAGAAGTTTCTGCATTGGGCAGGAATTTATAGATCATGGGTGTCAAACGTAAGGCCTGGGGGCCAGAACTGGCCCATCCAGGGCTCTTATGCAGCCCTCGAGCAATAATGCAAGGGAGGAAGTGCTAGGGAGAGTGGGTGGAACCACTGCATTATGGCTTCACCATGGCAGAACAGCCTCATCTGCAGCAGTCAAGCATTGTGGGAGCATCTGCCCAGCACTGGACTGCTGCCTCTCCAGTCTGCCTATGTGGGTTTTCATCTACACTACCCTCCCAGCCCATGGGGCCTTGCAATAAGCTGCTGTCCTTTATACAGTTTCTATTTCCAGTACCTGGCATTACGGTTTATGGCACACATGGCCTGGCCCAACAAAGTGACATTTATGTCAAATCCGGCCCTCGTAACAAATGAGTTTGACACCTCCGTTCTAGATGATCATATGAGATGCAGTGCCAATAATGAAAGCAAAGAATACCCTGGCCCTGATTCTCTCCCAAAAATCCCTCAGCTGATGGAAGCAATGGTCTGCTCCATAGAAGCCAAGAAGGTGCAGGCAGCACTAAGAGGGAGAGTGAAGGAGATCTCCTCCTTTCCAAAGCAAAGGGGTTTAACAACTTCTCTCCGCTATGCTTCAAAACCACTTTTTTTCTCTGTATACTTCCTTAATCAGTGGTTGTCCTGCCACCCACTGAAACTCTTCCAAGTGTCTGTTTTCACAGACTGCTACCGAGAATTAAATGTTCCTGCAAGCTGAAACAAAGTCTCAGGTACAGCTACACCGATGAGGAAGTCAGGCCGTTTAAATACTTGTGTTCTAATTTATTCCTTTTACAGAATAGTTATTTTTGTCAAACAAAACATACTGAAAGTTATTATTTATATAGGATAATAATATGATTAAACATTGTCTTTGGGGTTAGCACACCTACAGTATTGTGTTCAGTTTTGGGCACCACAATTTGAGAAGGATATAGACAAGCTGGAACGTGTTCAGAGGAGATCAACAAGGATGGTGAGCGGTCTGGAGACCAAGTCCTGTGAGGAAAGTTTGAAGGGGCTGCATATGTTTTGCCTGGAGAGGAGAAGATATGATAACTATCTTCAAGTACTTGAAGAGTTGTCATATAGAGGATGGTGCAGAGTTGTTTCCTGTTGCCCCAGAAGGTCAGACCAGAACCAATGGTTGAAATTAAATCAGAAGAGATTAATAAGCGATTCTGGAGCAAAGGGCTGGCCTTGGCCACCCCCACTTCACAAAATCTGCCTGTAAAGAGAGCTGTCAGATTCTCCAATCAGCGTGCGCTTGAAGCAACAAAAGGAAGGACTCTTATGATCTAAGGCAAGCAAGGAAGCGATGGAAAGTCCTGGAAAAAGGAATGTGGTTTATGTAATAAATGGATAGAGCCTGTTATATTGAAGCTGATAGGAAAAGAAGATACAAAAGAGAAGGAAGAGGGTAAACTTGTATGATTGTATTGACTGAGGGAATCTTGGCTCCACAATATTTTGTCTGGGGGGGGCAAGCATATAGGGAGATGCTAATGTCTTTTAAAGGCTAAGTTTTTGTTAATTAGCTATGGAATTATTCTCTGTCTAGTCAGATAAGCTGGTTTTGACAGCTGAAGAGATGATTGATGAATACTCCTCCTGTCTGAAAGCAATTGTTAAGAGTAACAAATCTTTTCATAAGCAGTTTGTAACCTTCAACACTTGGGCTTTTAGTGGCCTTCTTTTTCTTTCCCCCATAGTTTGTAGTTTTCCCCTCCCTCTTTCGTTGTAGTTTTTAGAAATGCAAATAAAAAAAATTTCCCTTCCGGAGGCCAAAAAAACAAAAACAAGCCCCCTCCTCGTCAGCCAGCAAATTTAAACAAATAAACAACTGCTAATCAAATACCAGCTCTGTAAAGCAGGGCTGTCTGCTGCCAACTGCATGCTTAAGAAAAAGCCTAATTGCCTAAGCCTCTCAACCTCGCACTTACATGCTACAGACAAATCTGCCATGTGAAGACGGTGGAGTCTAGGAGCAAAGCCCAATGGAGACCATTCTTTACAGAGCAGAAGAACCACAAAACAGGAACAGGCACTTGGCCATGGTGGTTTAAATGCCCACAAGGACCCCACCAAAACACCCATGTCACTGTTGCTCCTCCCACTCCCAACCCTGGAGCAATTACATGGCAGGCAGGCTGGCCTGGAAACGCCGTCGGGCAAGCCTCCAGCACAGCCAGCCAGCAGCAGATAGATCTTTTTTAAAAAAAGCTGTTTGGGATAGGGCACATTCGTTAGGGAGCATGGAAAATTCATGAGTGGGGCATTGTCCTTGTCTGTGCCCCCGTGGCTATGGGCCTGCCTCTAAGTTCCATGTGGCTTAAGCACCATTTTGATGTAGGCATCCAGAGACTGCCAAAATGATTCCCCTCAAAAAGCTTAAGTTACCATTTGCTGTAGGAAAAGGAAAATATAGGGAAAGGGGAAAATAACACACAGAGAAAATGAAACCATAATGAACAACATTATGATTGAACACTGCTTTCAAAACTCCTAGCGCTCTATCGCTAATGAAAAGTGGGATTCTCTGATCTTCATAAATGTTCCTTTTAAATGGTTTGTTTCCTTACTGCACAATTGCTAGTTTAATTACATTTATTTTTAAAAAAAATTAAGGGAATGCAGGATGAAAGCAGGGGAAAGCTTGAGAGAGAATGCTCAACTTGAGTCCATACAGTCATAGAGAAATTTTTCTACTTGGTGGCCCACAAACAAGAAAATTACTTGTATTAATTTCCATTTGATCCATTCTCATTAATTTGCTTTATTTCCCCTTATGAAACAATTGGAAATTACATGGTTGAGGGGCAAAAACGTTGATTGGATCTGGTCCACTGTCCCCACAAAAGGACCCCCCCAATGCACAACAGTCAGAGGTGGTTTACCTTCAGTAACGTTAATGTATAATTTAGGAATGTATTGATAGTGCTTCAATTTTTTTTTTTAAATGGCGACCAGTGAAGGGGAAGGAAGGTGAAAAAGGAGAGGAGAGGGTGTGGATAAAGAATTGGTATTTCAAGGGGTGGAGTGGGAGAAAACGGATGGAGCATTTTACACATGGAGTAAAAGATGACCATAACAGCTTGGGAAAGCTGCATGTTAGCAGGGTTCCGTGGAATGTTTTCCATAAATAATCATGTAGTACCAGTCCCAGTCAATAAATAATCCCTTCTCTAGGCATCTCTATTTTCATAATGTACCAATCCAAGTTGCTAAGTGCATGAATGTCATCAATGTCCTGAAAGCCTAATAATTAATTGTGGCAAAATTAATGATCTGCAAGTTAATGAATTATGATGTTAAATATTCGATGTGTATTTTCCAGCAATGCCACATAGAATCAGTGACTCCAGCACTTACTAGGATTTGGGCATTGTAGAGTCTCTCCGTGCTCTTTTACTCTTGATGGAGTTATGTGGATTATATAACACCATATCATTGCTTCTAATTATACTTCAGCAAGACTCTGTTGGCATGAGAAACACTGTGATTAAATGAACTTTCATTCCTTTCCTTGAAGCAGGTCACTTCTCTTTATGGCACCATAAACTTTTCTCTCCTAGGCTTGTTGCTGCTGAATTCAGAGGAAAGAAGTTTTATTACAACACGGTAAGCTGCACAGTGTTAAGGTACAGAGGCTGTATTTTCATTATTTCCAATGCTGATATTCTACCTGAAAGTTAGGATCCAATTTAGTCATAGAGAGACTGTATGTTTTTATAGACACAAATAGAGCAGCATGAGCCAGCCAATAACAATATCTAGGCCACCAGTATTTCCACATGAAGGGCTTAATTCACTCCCCAAGCACAGAGACTGTGTAGTGCATATTAAAGTTAAGCTAAGTAGTTTCAAAGCATATACAATTTAGCTGAGTCACATCAGCCAAATCTAGATAAAGTCCCTTCTGGATTTATACACTTTACAATGTGCTCATCATCTTTCTCATCCAAATCAAAATGGCTAAATGAGTAGGACGGAATAGATGAAAAACCATTTTGCTTTGACCCATGCAAAAGCACTCCCAAATTCCTGGTATTCCTGGCACACCATTAAGAGACAGGAATACTTGTAATCCCCCCCCCCAAAAAAAACCATTGAATGGAGGGGGGAATTTTTTTTTAAAAAAAAAAATCAATTCATTACCCTCAAAATGTGTGGGAAATGTTTTTATGCTTGCTCCCTCTTATTTATTATTTTCTAAAGAGGGTACAACTCAACATTGAAATCCCATCACAAGTAACTTAGGTTTCATTTATTGCCACAGGAATTGATTGTGACTAATATTTGCTGGATTCAGCCCAATATATTATGCTTGTCCAAAAACTCATGCATACTTTTGAGAACTGTAGCTCTCACAAGAATGATCAAAGCTGGCAGCAGAACAAATTTTTCTTTCTTGATAAACTCTATTGTAAGAAATCAAATAAATTTTAATTTAAGACTGACATCATAACAAGTGTAGCACTTCCACATTATTTCACTGTAGAAGAAATTTCAATTGTTGTAATTTTACCTAAACTATGAGATATACAGTGCAATCCTAAACAGCATTATGCCTTCATAAATCCATTGAAGCTTACTAACTGCTTAGGATTGCACTGCAAGTCTGGTAAAATGAAATAAAAATGTGATAAAAATGATGGTATGAGTGCTGCAAGAGGGTCACATAAATCTGTACTGAGCTAGTCAGTGGATCCATGGGGGAGGAAATCCTTCTCCACACATTAGACACGAAAACAGAACAAAATCTCCACATGGAAACAGTCTAGGTTTCTGGACCTATAGCTCAAATATTCATTTCTATTGATGTGGGCTTGTCTACAATGGTTGTGTGCCACTTAGGATGTTCCCAAACAAGCTTAAGAAATCATCTTCAGGATTTGATTTTTGTATAATCATAGAATCATAGAGTTGGAAGAGACCTCAAGGGACATCTAGTCCAACCCCCTGCACAATGCAGGAAATTCACAAATACCTCCCCCCACACCCCCAGTGACTGCTGTTCCATGCCCAGAAGATGACACACACACAAAAAAAAAACCTTCAGGAGAAAAATTGCTTCCTGACCCCAAAGTAGAGATAATAAGGTACTCAAAAATTGAACTTGCTTTGTTTGTAACACCCATTTATTTTTATACTGAACACTTCATATGATTACATTGCTGGTTTATTAGCCCTTTTTTATATCTCTGAGTAGTTTTTCATCTGTGCATTAACCATGGCAGCTGGCCAAGTAGCCATCATTGGCACATGCTCACAGTTTGCTTCCTTGCTTGGGTTACATATGGTACATGTGCTTGCTTTGGCAGCACGTATACTAAAAAAAAAAAAGCTACATTTTCAGTATGTGTGCTGTTTTTTTGCGGCTGCACAGTTGACAACATTTATCGGTTGGTGGCATTTGATAATGCTGGTGCGAGATCAGAAGTGAGCAAGGCTGAAATTAACCTTAAATTCAACAACACCCCCAACTGCTAGGAAATGCTTTTGCTTCATTGTAAATCATTGTGTTGATTCTTGCATCACTAAGTATTGCTGCTATTTTCCCAACCCTTTCATTTCCCAACCCTTCCTCTTTCATTTCAACACAACAATAGTAATGTTGTGGATACCATTATGTTCCTTGTACAATCAAAAAGTTGTTAAATGTTTCCAAATGCTCTAAAAAAGTTATTTATTTGTTTACTTGTAGTCTGCATTTCTCACTGAGACACAAGGCAGGTTACATGATAAAAAAATGTACTCATACAGCATAAGACAGAGTGAACAATGGAATAGTACAGAACTAAAATAAAATATGAACAACAAACTACCGTATATAAGGCAAGTTATACTAGTAAGTGGAACTAGAAAGGTAGAAGATAATGCAGTAAAAGCAGAACAATACCTAGAATAACCATTGCAGTAGACTACAATCTGGCTCCATAATAAAGATGCCATCCTGGACTGTTGCATTCTGCTGTGGTTCTAATGCCTTCACAAAAATGCTCACCTGTTTTGCACATTCTGCAGAATGATTAGGAGTGTGGGAGCTTTCCTGGCCTCCTCAGGCAGGCTGTGCCACAAGGTGGGAACCATAACAGAGAGTGTGCATGAAAGGACAGTTGCTAATCTTACCCATTTGTAGGGTGGCACCTTCGGAAGGCTTTTCTCAGGTGTGTGAGTGAGTGACTCTTCTGTGGCAGAGCATAGCAGGAGATTGTTTCACAGTTTTTGTGCATGTGCATTATCACATTGCTTTTTTTATAACTGACCCTGTTTCCCTCCCTATCTGCTGTCTGTCCAAAACACTGGGGGAGGGGCATCATCTGGCAAAACATGCCTGGGGAGGGTCTCAAGCCTTTTCTGTTTCGTGACATGGGGGTGAAATATCTCTGTAGCATTCCAGCATGATAATTTTCTTAACCCATTCTATTTAAACCTATAAGCATGCATTTTTCTCCCTGTTTCAGAGAATTTAGACTTTCTGCCTTGGAGAGACATCTCACAGATCAACAAGGTCTAGGTATGTTGTCCACTGATAGAAACTATTGTGTTACACTGAATTATGAATAAGTTGATACAATGTCTAGACAAAAATCAGGAAGGACAGAATAGAGTTTGCTACAATTATTTTGAAGTATCATGTATCCTCAGGGATACTGCATATCAAATCAGATGTTTAATAAAGTAATATAATATAGCCACTCCCTATTAATCCCAAATTTCTCATATTTGGAATTCCATGAGACTATCAAACATTCTGTTTTATGTGTGGCAAAACCAGACACCTCCTAAATGATAGGAAGCAGAGGCATAGGAATAAAAACCTGTCTTGAATCTGCTGTCCATCAAATTCCTTGGGAGACAGAGAAGGATTTTCTCTTTGGCCATTTTTATGCCCAATAATAATTTTATAAATTTCTATCTTGTCCCCTCCATCATGTTTTATTCATTCTAAAAGCCCCAAACTTTAGGAATTAATAAAAAAGTACTAGTCCCAGTATGGATTTGTGTGGAGCTACTGATATACCTCTACTGCAAGAACTGTCCATTTGTTCCTGCTGTCTGCTTCCTATTGCTTAATTAGTTTCTAATCCACTAAAGGACCAGAGGTCTATCCCTTAACTGCTAAGAGGTTCTCTCACCCACCGTTCAGTTGGCTACAAGAAGAGAAAAGTTGTCATTGCAAATGTGAATGATGAACAAAAGAAACAAAAATAAATTAGGGATGAAAAAGGGATTTTGATGTCGATCTACCCAGCTCAACCCTTTGTGTTCTGAATGTTTTATTTTGTACTGCAGAAAAACATAACCTCACTTGTTTGACTGCTTGTTGAAGTTCAGGTAGAAACATATTTCCATTATATTCCTTTCTATAATAATTCTGTATGGTCTGATTTTATTCTTTTTGTTATGTGTGTGTGTGTGGGGGGGATTTGTGACCTGAAATATCTGTTCCCTCAGGGACTCATGGGAAGTGCCCCTTTATGACCTATAATAGATTCCCCCCCCCAAATGTTGGCTGACCATGCCTTTGTTAGGCTAATGGATCAAAATAATAAGCTGATGTTTTCTCAGTGAGCACTCCTTATGATTATGTTAAATATTCATTGGAACTTCAAGGAATTAATTCCTAGACAAAGGGAGGAAGATAAGGAAGTAGAACACCTGTAAGTGCTGGTTAAAACAAATGTAAGTTGTAATATATCGGTTAAAATAATTAGTGCCTAAAATAAATGGGTTGATGTCTTTTAAAAAAGAAATTGTGGTATAAAAACAGGCATTCTTTTAAAGCTTGATTTACAAAGAGATCAAAACAGCAATCCCAAGCATTCAGACTCTTAATCAAGTATATTCACTGGGGCTTACTACAAGGAAAGTGTTTTTAGGATTGGGCTGTAAGGGTACAATCCTAAAGACATTTTTCTGGGAGTAGGTCCCACTGAGTAGACCTGAGTAGAATTCCCCTCTAAAAATTACTTCTAATTTTCAATAAGGAAGCCAAAACAAGAGAACATTATTTTAGCCCATTGACAACATTGCTTACACTTCATTTAGTGAATTCCCTTTAAACAATTAATAAAAAGATGTATTAACCATACAGCTACAATTGATATTAAAATTATACTATTAACATAATACTTAGAAAACAAGAATCACATGAATTTGAACTTTTGGAACAAAAGCATTTAAGAAAAGATGAAGCAGGACTACTAGAATGTTAGAGGAACATCCAGAGCTTGAAGATTTACCATTTCATGTATACCTAAAATGTATAAATGCCATGACAAATGATACTAAAACAAAAACAAATGAAAATAATTTAAATGGAAATTAAAAATTTAAAAGCACTATTTACCAGTCCACCAGCACTCACAAAACTACTCTAATACACTTTCTATTGCAATTTGCCTGAACTAAATTTGTTGAAAAAACAAGAGAAAATGCTTTCATTATTACACACTCAGTGCAAAACATGAGTCTTCTTAAATTCAGTTTCAAAACAAAATTGATTTAGCTTAGTAATTCAACACTCAGAAATGTAATTGAGCAAAAAGTGAAGAAAACAGATATCAAGCAGTAGAAAAATGTTCAGTCTGTTTTTTTAAAAAACCCTCTATTTTTGCCTTAAATTTTGAATCATTCTAATGAAATATTTCAGCTTTTAGTCATACCAGCCACATGACCACAGAGAAATCTTTGGACAGTGCTGGCTTTTCGCTTTGGAAACGGAGATGAGCACTGCCCCCTAGAGTCGGATTCAACTAGTTTTCAGTCAAGTGAAATCTTTACCTTTAATTAAATATATATTTTAATAAATTTATTTTCTGTTTTCAACATAACATATTCCTTCCACTTTCAAACATTTGATAACATAACGTACATCTCTTTTCTTTAACAATATCTATCTTTAACTAGCCAAATTTCAGTTCTATTCTATCTTCTTAGAGTCTTATACATTTCATAACGTTCGTCTATCTTCTTTAACACTATCTAACTAGCCTAATTTCAGTTCTATTCTATCTTCTTCATTTTCAGCCAGTCATAATTTTTTTCCCATCTGTCTCAGAAGAGTTCTTCAAATTTATTTTGTACCGCTATGTTTAATTTGTCCATTTCTGCTACTTCCAGGATTTTATGCTTAAATTCTTTTATATATGGTATGCTTTTAGTTTTCCAGTGCTTTGTTATTAATAATCTAGCTGCTGTTAGAATGTAGCTAATTATATGGTTATGATCTTTTATTGCGTCCGGTATCATGTTTAGTAAGTATATTTCTGGTATTAACGGAATGTTAATTTTTAGTATTTCTAAGAGTATTTTGTGGATTTTATCCCAGAAGATCTGAATTTTATCACATCTCCACCATATGTGGGAATATGAACCTATGTTTTTCCTGCATCTCCAACAGATGTTTGATGCTCTCAGAAAGCACTTAGAAATTTTTCCTGGAGTCCAATGCCACCTATAATACATTTTATATATGTTTTCCTTATATGGTGTTGCTCTCATATATTTTAGTGTTTTCCATGTTTTTAACCATTGCTTCATTTCTATTGTGTGGCCAATCTCCTTCATCCACGCTGACATAGGTGTTTTTATACCCTCTTCTTTTGAGAAGTCTTCTAGCAGTTTTTTATACATCTTCTGGATCAATTTGTCACTTGATGAGAGCCATGTTTTGTCTAATTCAGTTTACCTATTGTAAAATCCTATTTTTTTATCTTCAATATATTTTGATTTTAATATGTTCTTTTCCCACCAGGACAGCTCTATTTTTTCTTTTGATAACATCTCATCCGATTTTAGTTCAGTTTCTTTTGTTAGTAGATTACCATAGGTCTCTTTGATTTTCCCTAGAATTAGTGACGGTTTTGCAAAAGCCTCTATGGGGAAAATCTACAGTGGTATTTTATTGTAATTATTATTTTTTATTACATTTCATAGTTTTATAAGGGCACTTCTAGTTATATGTGTATGAAATATTATGTTGTTGTTGTTCAGTCGCACAGTCGAGTCCGACTCTTCGCGACCCCATGGATCATCTCCCGCCAGGCCCTCCCGATTAAGAGAAATATTATACAGTCTGGCAAAAGATAGTCAAAACAAAGAATGAGAAAGCATCACAATGAACCACTTGCTATTGTATGGTTTAACTCCCATGGTCTGCTGCTTTCTTTACATGTGGAATTTGCCTATTTCCCATGTGAGGGAAGGGGGCAGGGGAGATAAAATATATATCAGGGAAAGGATAGCCCTTTAGTGTTTTTACTTTAAATTATACACACTGAGAGATGTCTGTAACATCCTGAGCAGGAGGCTCTCTCTTACATAGAGAGATGATCTGATTCTTCCAGTTTCTTCTAGTTTGTGTTTAAGTTTTGTTGGAAGTGAAGGACTTAACGTTGTCTCTTAGTCTCAGATTACAAAGGAAGACAGGACACTGACCACCCTTTTACTACTCTCTGATACTACCCGTTTGATGTGTAGATTTCTACTCTTAGGGGAAACTTCCTTCCTTCTGGCTCCACCCTTGTTCTCCAACCAATGCCGGTTTTCGCCAATTTGACAACATGACAGCAGAACGTGCTCCTGTATCTCCATCCATTTTAGTTGTTAGCCTAGATTAGGAAACTAGCCTCTATTCTGTCTAGAATGGAGTTCCTTGATTAAAAGGACTCATACTAATTTTGCAACAAAAAGGGCTCTGTGTGTAACTTTATTTCTGTAGCACAAATGCTCCAGAAAGCTTTGTTGTGTTGTAAATCTTGAGTACTCTGCTAATTTACCAAATAATCCAACATGTTTATCCTTTTCTTCTCACTCCCCACTCTCTGTCTTTACTGCAGTCACAGTCATTGTTGCTGGGGGGGGCAACACTTTGGCATCTGCTTCAAGCTCCCTCCTGGTTTCTGTAGCTTTACCTCTTTGTCAGTTAAGCAAGTTTACCTGTCCTGTGAAGTTGTGCATGTTGTCGACTGGCACTAATATTGTAAGATACTTTCTTAGTTTCTCTTTATTCAATTTCTCCCCAAAATCCAACAATCCATTTCTTTTCTTTCAGGAATTTGAGGTATGATTTGAATGAATTCTGTTTTGATTAAGAGATAAATTTGAAGAGACGGGGACAGGAAGGGGGGGTTCTGCAAAAATTTCCTAATTTCACTCTGCAAATACTCAGAGGCAGGTACTATCTCCCCAGACTTTTCTGTCCTCCTTCTGGGACTATGCTGTCCTGGCTTCTAGGACTATGCTGCTGACAGCCAGTTTTTTCCATGCTCCTTGGCTCTTGGTTCTATTTGAATTCTCATGTGCAACATTGCTTCTGTTTGGCTATTGGCTTCTCAGCCCTGGAGGAAGCATGACATCCCCCCCCCCCAAGAAACAACAGAAACAAGAATGCCTGGGATACTTTGTTCAGGATCTATAAAGCTGGACCCACTTTGTCCTATTCCTTTGAAACATGAGGAATCGTTAGTAAAGACCAAGGATAGGTTGTCTGAAATACCAGTGTATTTTGAG